ATCGCCTAAGGGCGGAAGTCGTTCGAAGGGGAAATGTTCCATCCGATACGTGTCCACCACTGTCTTGTCGAGGAAAAAATACATCAAGAGCGATACGATAGACGCAGTCTTCTCTGGAGCTGGTGTCGGGGAAGGATTCTAATGCTATTATCGTAATCCAGGCATCAGGGACACAGGAAGAGGCAGACACCGGAAATATGTCACACCCTGGGATCGAGCGGGACATATCGCCGGGGAATGAGCAAAGGAACAATTACAGCAACAAGTGTGAGCATGGCGAGCTTCGCCCAGAGTAGTGTGCCCTCGGCCGCATCTACAGGGGTGAGTAGGACTGTCGCGAGCGGCCAGGCGTCACGGTAGATATAGCCAAGCCATGCAGATGCGAGAACGATCGCGAGATGGCGTGTCGTCGTGCCTATCGTCGAAGGCGCGGCGAGAATCGAATGCAGCGTAAGGAGCGAGGAGTATGTCTGTGTAGGATGTGAAAGAGCGTACAAGACCCGTAGCAGACAAGACGTACAAATGTTACACAGAGCGCGAGATGCAACCAAACAACGTTGGGCTGCAGTTTCTCTGTCATGTCGCCCCATCCTGTGGCGTATGCAGTGCAGATGGCCATTCCGAGCAGCACGAGACACCCCGCGAGCCGTACGGCATTGAAGATTTGGATAGATGTGTCGACTGGCTGCGGGCTCGCAGCCATGTCTGATGCTTCTATCACGTCGTCAAAATCGGCCTCTGCACTTTCACTGATTTTTTCAGCATTGGATTTCGAATAGAGTTTTTGGAGCGTAAATTGGAGAAGCAATACAAGTACGGATGCACACGCGATATAGCCGAGGATGGCGAGGGTATTTAGAAGACAGCCATAATTATAACGCGCGGGGTTAGTTTCCGTTGTACCACTGGCACGAACGTAGTAAACCAGTGTGTAGACCCTGCACCTGTTTCCGCCCAACACGGTCCAGCTGTTGCCATCCGCAACCACAGGCCTCAGCACCACCTGCCTCTCGACGCCCACCTTCGTGCCCTTGCCCAGATCATGGTAGTCTCTCTCCCGAACTGCAATCCAAACTGCCATTTCAGCCTTAAGCTGAACTCCTAAAGCCCGCGCGCAAGGCTGACATTATACAGCTCGATATTTAGCGACCGAGGGTGTACAGTCATCAAGGTAAGTATGGAGAACGCGGGCAACGCGAGTCTCATCGGCTAAAGTCGGTATCGTGATCGCGTTGAACAGATTGGCGCTGTCTATCGAGATAGAGGCTGTGGGCCTGACAGCAGATTAAGACGCTGTACAAGCTGGAAAAGCTGATAGGGATTCGATCAGGGGTATCATCAAAGCTGTGTATTGGACTGCAAGTACTTAGCTCCACAAATATAACACGATAGATTTGACAGAACGGCCGTGCAAAGCCGTACGACGTTCGAGACGAAGTACTCACGCGGGCTCATTGCCGTCACGGACACGTTTACTTGCTGCGGCGCCCCACCACAAACGGCGCACTGTCGCTCATCTTTGAACTGTACGGCAGAGTTCGTCAGTGCTATGTCGGCCGTAGCCTTAGTTGTCCCCCGCTTGTCGCACAAATGCACGGTCGCCCGCGCCGCTGATGATCAATAAGAAGGGCGGCCTTGCGCACGGATCTTGCGCAGCGGAGCAATAGGAACGCATTGGTCGCAAGCGCGAGTCCAACGACATTTGTCCTGAACTATGCTGGACCCTCGTGGGTGTCAGAGACAGGCAGGACGAAACGGAACTCTCACGTCTGCAAAGAATTACATGTCCAACGCGTCAATATCGCTGCTACATTAATATTCGGGCCCTACGGGAAGTGGTAGCGAGAGGGGCGGGCGGAAGGGTGCATACTACACTGGCGGATGGGAGCGGGGAGGTTAACGGGGTACTAGGGCAGGGATGCAAGAAATAGGCAGGCGCTTGCTTCTCGCTTACGTGCGCACCACTTGCCCAAGGCAGCACAGCGCGTACAGTAAACTTTGGCCAGTTGGTCACTACCACATCACATCGGTCGGCAGTTTCAATCTCGGTCGCACCTTCGCCCCCAACAGCAGGAACGACGCTCAACATTATACCGACTTTCGCGTGCACGTCTGGCTTTCGAACCTTCCGCGCTGCTACTACGCGCGGCTCCTCTCGGCTATCCACCTCGCCTGCCGCCGCCTGAAGGCCAGCAAGTCTCTTCATCATGAGCTTCGCATAAAACGGGGGAGAGTCACCGTGCGGCATGAGTGTGCAACATATATGGTACGTGTGCATTGTTTGTTGACCAAGAGACTGCCCCCGGGGTTGCCCGCTGCTCATCTGTCGCCAAAGATACTGTGCATGGAGGGTATGCATTAAGATTGTGCTGTTTGAGCCCTCTACGTCACAACAGGAGTAGGAATTGCGGTTTCAGTCTGTGCATCACGCGGCAACTGTTGCTGCCCATGGTGTGCACTCCCCTTGCAACTATCCATGCCTTCTGTACAGCCCACCTCGGTACCGTCCCTGGGAAGGAAGCTCGTTTTGTCCGAAGATCAGTCGGGTCAGTTGATTGCGCAGAAGCGAGCGCCACTGCATTGCATTCCAGAGACGGCGCTCTCTGCGAGCAATGTATACGCAAAGATCCGTGCCTCCTTCCGTACCATGCGCAACCTGAGGCCTGAGATACTGTCCGTACTGACAAGGAGAAGTAATAAGAGACTGTTTGACAGCTTGTGATGCGAGCGTGATATAATAAGTCCTTGCCAACACGGTTTGCAACCATCCTCTGCACACCGGCCCACTGCTATGATTTCGACTCTGGATACTGCCAACACTGCACGCCCGCTGCTCATCGGGGTAGCCTTCTCGCTCGTGTGCTGCACCTCGTCTCAATCCGGTTGATATCATTACCTGACCGGCGTTGCTATTTAGGTTTTATGGTGCATTGTGCGCGCAGGTCCTGTACTATACATGGCACTACCCAAAGGACTCGCCCCGACTCAAAAGCATGGTGGGTTCCATGTTCTCCCGTTGTTTTGGTGTCTTCATCTGTGTTATATAGGTCTTATGTATATTGTATGTGGATGTGCTGACTTTGGTTAGATGTCTCGGAGCTAAGCCATGAGCAGTATACTTGACACTATCTCCATGGCCTTGGATATTGATGTGGGTCTTAAAGTTTGGAATTGAACCTGATGTTTATTAGTTGCTAGTGTCTGTATCAAATGGTCATTCAACCGCAGGCCTCTCTGGCAAGTAGGTTCCTGTTACCTAGGTTGGTGTACGCCACACTCATCATCATGTCAATCATACTCATGAAGATTTACCATCAGCTCACTTGGTGTCAGTTGCTATTTGTTATATTTTACCAGTTTCAAACCTGCTCTGCAATAGATTGAATATATCTTTTCAGTAAGAGATTGATAGTATGAACCAGTGATTATTAACAATGCTTAGTCAATTATGATTTTCATTGTTCAAATGTGAGTTGTCATATTGTTACTTGGAGTTGCATAGCTTTGGCTAATCTGTTCATCTTAGATACTACATATATATGATTTGGCTATGTGAGCACATGTTCCTTTTGTTATGCACATTGATGTAATCTATTCTCTATAGTGTCTGCAAATACCAGAGCTAATACTTCCATATCAGTTGTAATGGTATATTATTGGTAACAAGCCTGTTGTGCTTTGCTAATATAGCCACTGACAGGGGGCAGTAGCATTAGCATCATGTGGTATGAGATGTGCCTGTTCATTTTTTTCATGCAACTTGCTGATCAGTCACAATGCTTAGCCTCAGGCTGTGGTTTGTTATCTCAACTTTCTCTTACTATGTGAACTAAATACTTGTGTTATTGGTATAGCTAATGGATACTGGGGGTAAGTCCTGTTATGATAAAACAGAATACTCTCTTTTGGACTTCAAAAGCTAAGTTTTGTTTTAGACTGGCATATCCTACTATTCCAGAAGTGTTCATTGTATCTCAGGTACTATTTTTATTTTATGTTGTATAATACTTGTCATATTCAGTAAATTCTGCAGAAATCAGGCACTGTTCAGCCAGTTACAGCCACAGTGACAGATATATATATTGCACTGGCACTCATCTGGATATTAAGGCATGAGTCTTCAGGTTTGAAGGAGTAAATTTCATATGTTCAGTATGATTTTGCATCACCTAACTACTTTTGGCCAGTGCCAGAAGTCTTGTTAACAAGCTGATTTTATTTATTATCAATCGTGCAATCTTGACAGTGTATGTTCTTCTTTTGCATGACAAATTGTCAAGATTATTAAATTTAAGTATACATATATAGCACTTTACAACTTGGAATTGTAATCATGGCAAGTATTTTTAATGAGCAAATATATTCCAGCTATATTCATCACTTTGATAAAGCTTAAAAGTATGAGCTTACACACTGCATACTGGGTTATCTTTCATTGTGTGGGAACTAGAGGTGTGTTAACTGAGCTTATTTGCAAGCATGGCTATAAACTGATTCTCTCAGCATATGTAAATTCACTAGTTGCAATGTAACTATATCATCATCAGCATCATCATCTCTGTTTCTCAATGATGCTAATACAAGGTTTTACAGGCTCAATGCAAGACATTATTTTCAAGATGTAAGGCATTTAAATTATCGTGTTTCAGAATATCTATTGAAGACTATTGTTAGATTGTGGACACGGAAACCACTATGCATAACCAATGATGCTCTTGGGCACAGTGAATATTTGTGTTCTTGTTGTACTGCAAGATATCTAATGCCAGGACTTTAATACCAAGCCTATATGTTATATTCCTAGATCATATAATACAGGTTTGATTTGTACATACATTAGTGACTTGCCAGAAGGAATTGACTTTGAGTTTGGATCAGACATGCATTGGAAGCTTTATATTGTATTGGGCTTAGAGTTTTCACACAATCATATATATTATAATGAAACAGGGATGGAGCATCAAGTAACAGGAAATGAGAAATTGTGCATACAATATATGTCAAATCAATGTTCTACAGCTTCCTGCTATGGCATACAGCTTTTCTCTGTCGCCACTTTCGTCCACAAGAGCACGAAGCAGACTCTTCTCGTCCTTCAACAGTATATCAGGTTTCCCAAACTCAACCTGATCACAGATCAGTATATGCTACTCCATGAATCATACATAATGCTTACAATGCGGCCTGCGTCGAGCACCATCTGTGGATCATTAGGTGCTTAGTTGCACACGTATCAAACGCAACAACAGTTCGACTCACAATCTTGTCAGCATCCATGATCGTCTGTAGACGATGCGCAATGGTCAGCACCGTAACACCCTTGTCTAACTCTTTCCGCAGCGATTCTTGAATAACGGTGTCTGTTGCATAATCTGCGGACACTTTGTCAATGATATCCCAGACAAATCTCGGGCAAGCCTCTCACCAATCGCAGACGTTGCTGAGAAACTATCAGTCAGTCTGTGTTCGCTGAATAAGTGGGCCATGACATACCTTCGTCCAGAATCAGCAGCTTGCTCTGTCGCACAATCGCTCTCGCAAGCGCCAAGATCTGCCTCTGTCCCACCGATAAGTTGCTGCCACCACTGGAGATGTGTGTATCAAGAGTGATTATATTTTCGTCAATGTCCGTCTGGAGTGCAAACAAGCCAGCTGAACGAAGGGCGTCGTTCAGTATAACGTCATCATATCGCTCGAATGGATCCAGATTCTGGCGTAAAGTGCCACTTAGTAGCTCGGGCTGCAAGGCGTCAGCGGTCGGCACAAAGAGAGAGCTGCGCGATCTGCGCACCACTTGGGGAATGATGGTAACATGCGACCTGAGCGCGTCTAGGTTGATACTATCCGTCGGGATGCCGTCATAGTACACTTTGCCTTCTGTGAGGATGCATCGCAGAAGGGCCAATGTCAGAGAACTCTGAAGATCAGGTCAGTGACGGATCGCGGCCGATGATACGAAACGTACTTTTCCGCTACCAGTACGTCCGACTTGACACTGATGTGAGTACAGCGTAACACACTATACGTTTGTCACTCACCGATTCCGACACGTTCCCCGGACTTGATTTCAAAGGAGATGTCTTCCAAAACTCGTGGGCCATCCTGACAACTCTATGAGCTGGTGCACATTGTAGTTGCGAGATATCTTACAGGAGAATAGCGTGCAGATAAGCTTTGAACCCTGAGGCCTCCACTGGCAGGCCAATATGCTGGAGGCACGCCGTGCTCGGTCGGCTTGGGTTCTTGCTCGATTTCCAGATATTGTTTTACACGTTCAAGGCTATATCCTCTGTAAGACTCAGCAGGGACCTTTCAGAGCGGCCATACCTGTTACCTAGTCTCTGGAGCTGTCAAAAACGGCGGTGCGAGGCATACACAATCACTGACCAGCAACCTCAAGCATATTGTACATCCTGACAACATGAAGGATCAAATTGCTGAAACCAACTGAGTCATCATCAAAAGGGGTTACTGCCCCGCATGCAGCGTTTACGGACCTGCCATGTTCAACGTAAAACCTGTATCTGACGCAGATGAGCCCCCGTAGACAAGATATGCTGCCAGACTGGTGGAAAACATTGCGCCAAGCACGTCGATACGAACCGATATCCATCTGCAGTCATGAGTCAGACGCACCATCAGACAGACATAGCGAACAAAACTACACACCGATTTAGGTTGTTGAATGTTCTCGAGGCCCTCGTGTACTTATCGATACGCTTAAAAGATTCCTTTCTAAATAAATCCTGCGCACCGTAGGCCCTAATGGAGACTGTAGGATTGTCCAATCACACCATTTTCGATATGTTTGACGAAGACTCACTTAGACCTGTAAAAGCAGCACCAAAAAGACCGAGAACTGGGGCACGAGCATTGCTTATTTCACGCTTGACAGATAGCTGTGCCTTCATGTATACTTGACCCATCCACGTCCCGGCTGCAGCGAGGAACGTTCCCGGGAAAACGAAGATCGGTGACATGGCGACAACGGCTACGAGTTTGACCAGCATGCACATCGTCATGTTCATGAGAATGCCCGTGAATTGCCCAACGGTTGTGTCAACTAGAAGATGAAACTAGATCAGTCAGGCGTTTCCAAAGATTTAGACACGTTAGCATACTCGAATCCATGTCTTGAGTGCACCGTGTTATTATCCGTGATGCGGGGGTTTTATCGAGCCATCTGTAATATTTTAACCCAGCGAGATAGATATTGTCAGAAACATTACCTGAGTGTTGTCCCAAGCACGGAAGTGATTAAATCCTTATGAATCTTTCTTGATGCTCGTTGTATACCCACGGCATTGACGAGAGCAAATACGACGTCAGTCAATGCAGAGATAAGGATGACGATCGCGTATACCCCGATGTACCTAAAAGTATCATCATTGAAAATGTTTCTGCTGTTAATGGGATAGTGTTACTCACGAGAGGGTATTGACTCGTGATGCATCATTTATTTCATACTGTTTCGCCCAATAACCAAGATACCATATCTGAGCATTATACGCGAGCTCAGTGACGACTAGAAGACTCAAGCAGCCAGTCCAGAACAGGATGCGGTGCTTTCCTCCCCAACTTGCGAGATAAAACCTCACTGAAACGCTATCAGCGCAATAGACCACTCAGATAGACTGGACATACATACTTGCCGGCCAGCCTACGTGTCCTACGGCAATTTCCTCCGCCACAACAAGCTTCCCTACGATTTTCTTCGCCTCCTCTTCTTGCTTCTCTTCCTGGATATCCATTTCAGCTTTCTCGAGCGCTTGGCGCTCTTCTGCGACCTCTGCAGCAAGCTTCTGGTCATGCTCCAGGGCACTCAGCAGGGAGCCCTGGCTAGAGATTCGACCCCCAGCGAGGGAGACAACAAATTGGGAGATGGGATTGGTAATAGTGACATTATGTGTCTAGATGTAGAGCGAATGAAGCTAGCTGAACCCCGGAGCGAAAGGGTACGCACCACTAAAAGAACAGTGCGGCCCTGGATAAGATCTCCCTTGAAGCATTTTTCAACAATCCACCTTGCCGTGTGAACATCGAGAGCAGCCAAGACCTAAAAGTGTTGCAAGTTGAGATGTGCTGGTCTAGAGAACAAGTAGTGAACACTCACATCGTCAAGTAAAAGGATCTCCGCAGTGGAGTACACGGCGCGGGCAAGAGTTACTCGAGCCTGCGCATGAATAACGGTCAGTATTAAAATGGCTTCTTACAACGTGCTGATACCTTTTGACCGCCACTGAAAACCAACAATTAGCTACGCCTATGATGACGTCCGCAAAATGTACCTCAAAGTTATACCCTTCTCTCCGACCTCGGTCTGATCTCCTGCATCAAACAAATCAAGGTCTCGCTGCAGACCACACTGAGTGATAACTAGAAAAAGCTCGCATAAGCAGTTGCGAAGACTTGAGTTAGTTCCACTCACCTTTGTGGTATCGCTCTTCGTCATACGGAGTACCAAAGAGGATGTTGTCCTAAAGCCAGTCAACTAGGCTCAGCACAGGTAGGTACCGATTAGCCTGCACATCACTCACTCTAATGGTTTCATTCTGTACCCACGACTCCTGCGCGGCATATGCAATGCCGCCCGAGCGCGGAAGATTGTAGAACGAATCTGGACCAGCTGGGATGTAATGCATCTCTCCTGTCAAATGATAGTTGATAGCCTCAGCGTTTGTCGCCCAATTTCCACGAGACAACTCACCTAGCAAAGCCATCAACAGTGATGTCTTGCCGGACCCGGTTGGACCAACTATGAGATTGATACTGCCGCGCTGGAAGTGCAACTCATCTTCAATGCGGAGGATGAAGTTCCTCCGCAACGCTCCCGGAGTCGACGGGTTGCTGTCAATTTGGTCATTTGTCCATGTGAAGGAGGCATTCCGGAAGCCGATGGCGTCGGCATGCATATTGGGCACGAGTAGGGTAAGTTCAGTCCTCATTGCAGGCTCCTCGCCAAAGTTGTCGAGAAGCTCGGTCTGCAATAATCGTGTAAGCTTCATGGTGGGGCATGATACGTCTACACAGACCTTGTGCATAAACTCGTTGATGCGATCCAGAGCAACACGCACTATAGCGAGGGTTATCGAGGAATGTTACATGAAAAGGGCGCACAAATGTACCTCGCACAATACCAGGCAGGAAACCGAAGATCAAACCCAACTGCATGCTGAACATCTCAAATACTACGCAAACTTTCAACACGGACACAGTATGAGATCATGCATGACCTACCTGCCATTGACGAGAACACAGTGGATGCTGCAGGAAACGTTTCAGTTTCAAACGCGGGTTGCGCGACTACAGAAAAATCTCACCCGAGAGTTCGTGTTTGAATACCATCGTCTGAAACAGTGTTTAGTGACACACAGGAAGTCGACGAATCACTCACGTAAGTCACAAAAGTAATCAACATTGTCATGAGGGGAATGACATGGCTATTCATTTCGTCAAATCAATATCAACTTGCCGCAGATGAAAAGTCAATAGTGTTAAACACGCACTTCATACTCTGGATGAGGATGTCCCACAGTTTTGTGCGCATAATCCATTTCAATTCTGTTTCTCGTTTCTCTGTGAGCTGTTGTGTGAGACGCGACTCCCAGCCAAACAACTTGACCATCCGGATGACGCCGAGGGCTGTACAAGCTTAGTATGCCTTTTCTCAAGTCGCTGTTGAACGACTCACAGTCAGTGACGCTCTGCACCCGCGCATCGGTCTGCCGACGTCCAAATCAACATGCAGCGACGCTGGGAGACCGCACGTCTTCGTACCTTCTTCATTTTCTCTTCCTGGACAGACCCAGACTTGTTCGCGACGACGCCGGGAAGAGGTAGCGTAGCGATGATGACGACGAGCCCCGCAAACGCACTGTGCAGACACAAAACCATCGCGTCAGAAACATGAAACGCGCAGAAGCGCCTCACCACCAGCAGAATCGCACCTTACGCCAAGGATGTCGTACAGGAACCAAACACAAAGCACAATCTGCAACGGTATTTGAACCGCTGCACAGTGACACCCACACCAAAGATGACGGGGTTGAACGTTCGCCACAAACAGTGCATACGAAGTGGCGCACCAAAATAGAAGACGCCTTGCCCCATCATGAGCGCCCCGACATCCGTCGTGATGAGGTTGTTGACCTTCCCAACGGCATTCTTACCCATATCTTCTTCTTTGCCCTCGTCGCTCTTGTCATCCTTCTTTCCCTTTGCGGGAGGCCCCTGCGCGGATGCCGCATTCCCGTCCTCAGACGGCGCCTTCGCCTTTTGCTTTCCCTGCGTCGAGCCCGCATCTATATCTGCAGTGAGGGTAGTTGTGGACGCGGCATCGTCCTGCTCGGAACTCCCCGAGCCCGAGCCCGACGCAGCGTCGGGCGAGACACCGACCTGTGGCTGCTCCTTCTCTTTCGTCTCGGAGTCGGAGGCGGCGTCAGCCTTGACGCGCATGCGGAGCGCGTGGTCAAACACGAGCTGCGTGAGGATCGCCTCCATGCGGACGAGCGTCCGCGTCTGGATGCGTCGGTCAGCGTGAGGGGGGAACGACGCAGGAGGGGTCGCACCCAGATGTATGCGAACCACGAGTCGAAGACCGTTCCGAGTACGGGGCCAAAGAAGAGCCACGCAATCCACAGCCAGGGGCGGACAAATACGTCCGCGCCATCGGACTCGAGGTACCTAGTGGGCGTCAGGATCGAGCGGCGGACGACGGGAAGACATGAGCGGGGGGGCGACTAGAGACGCGGCGTACCAGAGAAGGTTCCGGATGCCCAACGGGCTGGCAAAGCGTGCGAGCGTCTGTGGGCGAGGGGGCAGTCAGCGTGGGACGGCAAACGGCTCGAGTGGGAGAGACATACGAGGAGAGTTAGCATGATACACATCATGATGACATCGAGGCCTGCAGCAGGAGAGGAATTCTTCATGGCTTGGTCGAAATACTCAACTCTCGCTTTCAATACTCACGGAAGACTCGGAGGAATCCCCAAAGGATGTGCCTCCCTTTCTTGCTGGACTGGAACGGATCCAGCTCCTGTGGAATGCTATGAGCTTCTCGCTATGGATGTTAAAATTCATACGACCTACCGGGAAGCTGCGCTTCATGAGGTTCGACGCTCCATCGTAGTCACCTAGGGGCGGGAGCCGCTCCAACGGCAGGTGTTCCACCTGATATGCCTCCAGTACCGTCTTGTCGAGGAAGAAGTACATCGAGAGCGACGCTATGGACGCAGTCTGCTCCGGAGCTGGTGTCAGGGAGGGGTTCTGATGTGATCGTTGTAGTACAGGCATCAGCAACTTAACAAGAGACGGGGACGTCGGGAAATTGATAACACACATTAGGATCGAGGGGAACATATCGCCGGGGTACGAACAAAGGGATGAGCACAGCGGTAAGCGTAAGCATGGAAAATTTTGCCCAGAGTAACATGCCCTCTGCCGCGTCCAGGGGGGTGAGTAGGACTGTCGCGAGCGGCCAGACGTCACGGTAGATGTAGACAAGCCATGTGGACACGAGGATGAGCGTGAGATGGCGCGTCGTCGTGCCTGTCGTCGAAGGCGGAGCGAGTACAGAATGAAGCGCAAGGAGCGAAGAGTATATCTGTTGTTCAAATATATAAGAGGTCATGCGGGGTCCATGACGGACGGACACTTACGTATGTTGCACAAAGCGCGATCTGCAACCAAACACTGTTGGAGATGGCCGTGGGCTGCACGTCTGTCGCGTCGCCCCAAGCAGCGAGGTATGCAGTGAAGATGGTCATTCCGAGCAGCGAGAGGCATGCCGTGAGTCGTACAAAGTTAAAGATGCGGATGGTCGCGTCGACTGGCTGCGCATCCGCGACTGTTGTCTCTGCTACTTCTGCCGCGACTCCCTCGTCGCCAGTCTCCGTGCCTCTATTGTGTTTTTCAGCATTGCGTTTGGTACGGACTTTTTGGAGTGCAAACTGAGAGAGCAGCGCGAGTACAGATGCACACGCGACATAGCTGGGGATGGCGAGCGTGTCGAGGAAATAGCTGTGAGTACAACGCGTACAGTTAGTCCCAGTCGCTCCAAGTGAATTTGAAGCGTAGACCGCTCACCTGTTTCCGCCCAACGACTGCATCGCCATCATGGTCCAGCCACTGCTACCCACAGCGACAGGCCCCAACACTACCTGTGCCTCCACGTCCGCCATCGCACCTTCGCCCAGATCATAGTAATCACTCTGTCGCTCTGCAATCCAAGCTGGCATGTTGGCCTAGAGCTGGACTTATCGAGACCGCGCGCAAGGCTGGTGTTATATGTTAGCGCGACATCCGCGCCGAGCATCTGCCAGAGTGTGATGTTGCGACGCGGTTGGCAGACTGGCGCCAAGCATCGAGATAGAGGCTGTGGGCCTGAGAACGTGCGAGGACGCTCTCTAGCACCGGACTGGGCCAAGCCGATAGACAAGCTGGAGAGATTTGACGAGGGAGCCAATCAAGATTGCGCATCAGACAGAACGTTCTCCATACTTTGCTAGACTCCGTGACGGTTTATGATGGCGGCCATGTGGGGGATCAGTGGCAATGGTTACTTGGATCACTTCAATTGATCAACGTTGTCCCATTTGCATCACAGGCGCAGTGATGCATCTTTATTGACAGCTATTAAAAGTGTGTAGATTACGAGAAGTAAGGGCGAACGTGAATAACGTACGGCTGGATCAACTTCAATGTGCTGGCGTATTGTTCAAATAGGTTCAGGGATACCAGCTTAGGATAGTGCACATCACTTGAAACGAGTACTAATCAGAGAGGAGAACCCCACAAAAAAGGTGGTTTCAGCAAAGAGTCCAATTTCAAACATGTTTGCCGGACCAATGAGCGAGCTCACCGCCTGAGCTTGAGGTACCCGAGCTCGCCTAAGGCGTACTTGCAGATGGGCCTAGCCTGCATGTCGATCGCGATCGAAGGGCTTCCCCTGGTTTCGAGTTGATCTCGGATGCCATGGATACAGTCGCGCATAAGTGATTTATAAGTAAGTTCCTGAAACTATACGGTATAGAAAAGTAATGTATGTTAGCTGCTCGTGCACTCTCAGACGATACCTGGAAAGCACCCATATCTCCACTCTAGGAAAGGTTCGGACGGGCTCGAAGTGCTTGCCTTCACGAATCTCTAGAAGTTCCTGGCAGAGTGTGCAGCATTCATGAAAACATGAAAAAAAAAACCCCCCCCGAAGTAGACGGATTTTAGATGGGAGGATGAACCTGAATAAGAGGAGGAAGGAGGGGAATGAATAGATGGTCGTTCGAGAGCGAATCGAGACATAACTCCGCCTAGTTGAAGCCGATGAACACCATGGAACGTCGGACCACGTACACTGGACCTACTGTCACTGATATCACCACACGCCAGCTATGCCCACAGGTCCACACTACACACATCACTTCTATTCACTTCCCGGCTCTCGAACGACGAGATCGCACTCTTGATGTACAACAACAACTCCTGTTTGCTTGTTGCGGTATATATAAGTGCAGACTTGATCATCATCATCATGTTTGAGTGCCCTATGTGGATCCGACACAAATCGGGCATTCCGCGTGCCTATGCAGTCGATGACCTAAAAGGACTGCAAATACAGCGCCAGCGTGGTTAGACGGAGGACGATGTTCTCATCTTCCTTAGGCTCAACCCAATAGTTGCAATATTTGAGTGGGCAGAAATACATGCTCAGGCCGCAACGGACCGACAGTCCGGCGACTTCTCGTCTGTAGCCAATGCGCTACTCTATGCTCATACCCTCTGGCGCAAAAATGCATTCAGGCAATTCTGCTCCGACCGCCACCTCATAGAGGCGAAAGTTATTCCTGGTAACCCGGCTTGGGACTAACTCTTTACAGAGTACAAGGTTGGTTATGTCGCCTCACGCATTGTGGAATCGTGGAAGACTGAACCCGACCGCTACCCACCACCCGCGTTCCTCGAGGACGTTGACTATCCAATGGGCTATATCCTGCCTCAAGTTGAGGGAAGGGATGTAGGCAGTGCCGAATCTGGCTGAATACCGGCCATGACGAGTTACACCGTATTTACGTCTCTATGCACTTTACATGTATCTCTTGATACGGATCATAAACAATTTGAGTATGAAAACAAAGATCATCATCATCATTCGCAAGTCTCGAGAACCGGCGTGATGAGACATGCTGTGACCCACACCTCGTGACCGCGAAGAGAGTCGTAACACTGCTGTTGTCACGCACATCATGATATCGACTGCGCCGACCGTCTCAGATTCACCTTTGCGCACGCACGGTACGGTTCGCCCACGGAATGCACTGCCGAATGCGCATGCAGCGCACCCGGCTCTGTGGATACGCAACACCAGCTCGTGCGCCCAGCCCTCTCACGCTTCCGCCTTTGCGCGTTCGTCGGGGTTGTGTTGGCATGGAACGCGAGGCTCGTAAGTGCTATACTATATGTACACTCAGTGCGCTTCGGGTCGTCAGACGGGCCAGGTCCGGCTTGGGCGCGTACTGTTGGCAGCCACCACAGCGCGCCCAGAACGCGGCGGCGAAATCTGAGACGGCCGGACCATCGTCTTGCGTTCTCTACTAATTGATTACTAGTTGATTCTCGAGGCAGCTACTGACAAGTAATCGCCTTGTGCGCTAGATGAAGTGATGGGTGCGCCCCCTTCTTACTTCCAGCGATACCAATGTCGTCTCGCAAACTTTTGCGCCCTTCAGGTTGGCTGTCCTACTGCTGCACAGCTCGATTCTCTCCGCCTTGCACACACACGTGCACACGCATCGCACAAAAAACAGCGCGTCCTCATATAACGTGCACCATGCCAAACGTATCAAATCACCATATTTGCTTATATATCGACAAGAGACCTCTGGCTACGAGGTATGGGCGGACGGGGACAAGACGGAGGCCGAGCGTGCGGCGACAGGCGGGAGAGCAACATTAGAGAACGACAAGACAGGAGCGACTGCAGTAACGATCGATGAGGAGACGCAGCTGCAGGTGCGGCGTCAGCCCAGCTGTGGCACACGAGATGGAACGCGGGCATTACCACAGCGGACACCGTCCATTTCGGGATCCAGATCGGTCGCAGGGCGACGCCTACATGCCATCTGGGAAGGGAGTGTTACCCATGTTGTCGGCAGCCTCGGACGCGGCGACCTCGACGGCATCTTCAGCTGCGGACTCCAATGTAGACCCCGCGGCATTGACGATGCCCTCCGTGGCATTGACGACGTTCCACACGGAGTTGGAGATGCTCTCCGTGGCGTTGGGTGCGTCTCTCGCTGCGAGTCCCCGAGCGGCGCTCGCCTTGCCGCCGTCGTCGAGGCGGAGCGCGTTGGCCTGGGCTCTGGCGGACCCGGGGGAGGCGATGTCGTTTCCGGACGCTGTGGGGTGGGCAAGGGCGGAGATGGCGAGGCCGAGGCCGAGGAGGGCGAGGACGCGGGTGGCGATCATGGTGTTGACTGGCTGGGCGGTGGGGCGGATGCAGATGGTTAGGCGAGAGCGCGGGAAGGAGCGTGTGTGGTGGGGCAGGAGAGGAAAGACTGCAAGACCGGGGCTCGGTTGAGGACAATGAGTGGCGGCCTCGCGGTATTTAAGCCCTTCGCGCCCCTCCCAGCGGCCGTCGCGGCCGCGCAGCGCGTCCCGGAATACGCTTTTCTCTCCGCGTATGGGCGGCGCTCGCGGCCGAGCGCAAAGCGGGCAGAAGCGGCGGCGGCGCAGTGGCGCACACATGTCGTCGCCTCCCCTGCGGCCGCCCCAACCAGGATTCCCCCTTCGCGCTCGACTGCGGGCAGCTGGGGACCGGATTGGCAGACGGCCTGCTCCGGCGGTGCGCCACAGAGACGACCCCCCTGCCTCCTCGGGCGCGGGCCCTGCCTTGCGGGCCCTGTTTCGGGGTGACGTCCTCGCCCTCGTCTTCGTCTTCGCCTCGTCTCTGCCTGTGGCGCTGCGGTGGTGTGTTCACGCGCTGCCATTTTCCGGCGGCATCAGCGACTCGGATGGCCGACGACTGCCGGACAAAGGACCGCGTCAGACACCGAGGGCTTCAGTGGGAACGCCTCGCCCAAGCACGCTCACGAGCATCCTCGGGCGCGCCGCCCGCGGGGCCGGTGGCGCGACAGCATGCTTGCGCACGCGGCCGTCGGGTGCGATCCAGCGCTGTGGCTGCTCTTGGGGTAGCGGGCTGCAATGGATTTGGCGGACGCTGCGGGAGCAGGGGCTGCGAGCTGGGATGGACGCGGATTCTCGGGCAGGCCGGACGAGGCTTGAGGAGAGTAGCCAGGGGCCCAAAGGGAACGAAGGGGAGAGGAGAGTAGATGCGTCTGCGTGGAACCAGCTAGATGCGCACCTTTGACGGGCATGGAGGATCCGGTGGCTCACATACATGCTCGCGAAGCTGCGTCACTTGTGGACAGGGCAGTGCGCAACTCACCAACGTCGTGGCCCGCGCGATGCATGCCGAGTCCTACATCGCAGCGCTTACAGCCATTTTTGTGGCGCTGCACCCATGCGCGGCGGCCTCGCGCCGCCATCCATGTACTCAAGTGCTCAAGGCGGCGCCTTGGTCGACATTCAATACCCCACCTCTACATCTGACTCCAACTGCAACGAGAGCGTGGGTGTATCTCTGTTCAATCCCCGAGCGCGATGCCACTTCGCCCCTCATAATCTATCGACTAGTATCGACTCGCATCCAGAGACTAATGGTAGGGAAGCCCAAAACGCTCCTAACTCGCGCAGGACGAACTCAAAATACGGTCCATGGTGCGCTAAGCGACGCCAACCAGTATGTTCCATCGCATTGCACATGGCAGTTCATTCGCTAGTGCAGGAGCGTCTCCATCCGAAGCTTTTCTAGAACGCAAGAGGGGTGAGGCAGCAGGTGCGCTCAGCTGTCGCCTGCTGCCTATTTCACTGTGCAACTCGAATCATGGGTATGTCGCGCGGACAGACACGACGCACGGCAAGTGCATACAATTCGCGATCTTACATAAACAAGCTCGCTGGATCCGTGTGGTATCAGGATGGTAGCTATAGCGAATCATGGAGGCCGACGGCACGGGCGAGAAACGAGAAATGCGAAACAAGGAGAGCGGCTCGGACAACAAGAGGGCGGCAGCGACTGCACGCGAGACAAAGACGAAGACGACTGCCGATGCATGAGTGCCTGTTGGTCGACGCGCGATGCGAAGGGGCGCGGGACTTACCAGACTTGAATGCATCCATGATCGTCGCGCGCTCCGATCAGAGCACCACGGAGATGGGGGTACAGCCGATGCCGACGAGACCTGACGAAAGATCGGTACAACGCGGACGAGGAGAGTCAGCGGGTGCTCACCGCCCAAGTAGTTGTTCTCGCAGCAGACGGGGGCGCTGGTGCAGCTGCTGCCGCCGAGGAGGGAGTCGTCGCCGCAGCCGGTCTCGAGGGTCTGACCCGCACGGTGGGCTTCGGTGGTGTCACCGAGCGTGGCGTCGATGAGGTTGTTTGTG